GTAGCAGATGGTGGAGAAAGGCTTTTCTTTTTATTTTTTGGAACGTCGGGGAGAGCTGACTTGTAAGTGGGGATAAAGTTGAAAAGCAGAGGGGCCTTCTGCTTGTGAACTGGTAAATTCAGTAGTTTCTTTAAGTCTTTGCTGGGAAAGAAAGACTGACGGAAGCCCTTTGGTGGCTGAGGAAGAATTGCAAAACAAAAAAAAACATAGACATTAGAATAGAATGTTGAAAACTTTATACTAGAAAGCAAGAAAAATGTGCAAATGGTGGCCCTTACCAGCTTCTTCCCCGAAAACTGTACGACTTAAGAGATAAAGATGGAGGTCATCATTTGGCTGAAACTCCCAGTTTCCCAAGACGATGAAGTAATCATCCCCCGCTCCCTTGTTGGAATCAGGGAGGTCGGCAATGATTTTGTATTCAGTGGACCTCGACTTAAGGTAATAGATATGACCTTTTTCCGATTTCAGTCGACACATGGTATAACAGTACTGGAAATCGGCAAGAGTTATCCTAACACTCTCTTGTTTGGCTAAAGCTATGGTACCGTTAATAACTCGGTAAGAGTTGATGGCAAGTTGCATTGGGTTCAACTTATAGAAATGAAGGATTTGACGGAAAAAAGGGTCAAGTGGAAACCTAAGTCCACACTCAATAAACGCAACCACTGGGAAAGGCATGAGGTTTTCATCGGGTATGATAGAGTCATCCTCCCCAGCTAACCTCAGATGAATGTCGGCCGGGATTTCGAACTCCTGCCTAAAGTACCCTAATTTTTCCGGGGTGTTTACCCTATGTTCCCACATACCCATGACGTCGGCTTAAATGAAGATATTGGATTTTAGGAAGAAGTATTTTTGGAGGGTTTAAAGGACCTCGGCTAAAAATCTACAAATATGCTATGATAAGGGTTTGTATGGACCTAGAAGGAATTCGTTTCAGTTTTTTCTAAAAATTGTGGGTTCTACAAACAAGTCCCAAACTTAAAGCTATGGAGATGAAGATTGAAGGAACGAATCTAGAAAACAGAAAAACAGGGATCCCTTTCAGAAACAAGAATGGTGATGAAGACATCAAGAAATCAAGACAAAAAGATTGCACAAGTGTATCAGGCCAAGAACAGTGGCAGAAAGCAACATGCATGTGAACAGTGCGAGTGTTCAAGACATGGACAAAGAGCAAAATTATGAAATAAACATGTTCAGATACATGATTCGCAAATCAAATATTCGAGTAAAACAGCAATGGCGACTAAATGATAAAACAAAATTTTATGGAACACAACAAGAACTGAAAACTATGAGGAATGGTGACTTACCAGAGAAAAGAAGTCGATGCTTGAGATCGCCGAAGTCAGAAGAACGGCGGTGGTAGAAAAGATTGGCAAGAACCACGCCGGAAGAGGTGAACGGTAGCGATGGCAGAGCTTCAAAGCTTGGAAAAATTGAGGATCAGAGGAAGCTAGAGAGAGAAAGAGTTTTGAATAAAGGCAATGTAAAGTGAAAAAAATGAAAGGGGGAAACAAGTTTTGTCAAAAACTTAAAACGGCGGCAAAAGAGGGCAATTAATGCGCCTGGAACAGCGAATGCGTCAGACGGCGCATGTAGGGGGGAAACGACTTATAAGCGCGTCCAGAGTGCGATCCAGTAAGGAGAAAACACGTGGCTAAACGGTTGAGTTGTTATGCATAACAACTCATACACGTAAAGAAGCTCTTGGAATTCTTGAACTTTGAAAAAGACATATCGGCCTGTGATGATGATCTCGGCTAGGCCGATGTAGCAGGAAGGAATGATATAAGTTCTATCACCTCAGAATGTCGAGGTAATAGAACCTAGGGGGCAGTTGTGGGGATATATTTTCTGAGTACCAATACGCGGCTAAGGTGACGCCGATGTGTCAGCCGAGGTGCCACGTGTCCTGGTCATGACGCTGAGGTTATCTCAGCGAGGCCGAGGTTACCTCCGAAGATATCGAAATCTGAGATAAGCGGATAAGGCACAAGAGTCCTAAAAAGGGGAAAGACTACAGTTGGGAAAGGATAAGACTCTTAGGAAGTTTAAATTCTTGTTGCTTAAAAAAAATATATATATATCGGCCTAAATAATGATCTCTTAACTGAGAAATCTTAAGCCGATGTATTTTGGAATCAAGTACTGATATAGGTTCCATCACCTTAGAATGCTGAGGTAATAGAACCTAGGGGGGCAGTTGTGGGGATATATTTTCTGAGTACCAATACGCGGCTAAAGTGACGTCGATGTGTCAGCCGAGGTGCCACGTGTCCTGGTCATGACGCTGAGGTTATCTCAACGAGGCCGAGGTTACCTCCGAAGATATCGAAATCTGAGATAAGCGGATAAGGCACAAGAGTCCTAAAAAGGGGGAAGACTACAGTTGGGAAATGATAAGACTCTTAGGAAGTTTATCCCAATCCTGCTAGGAGTCCAAGATTAATAGCAATCCTAAGTCCATTAAAGCTAGACTCCTGTTGGGACAATGATTGAGTTAGCTATAAAAGAGAAGCACCCCCGTGGGTTTAAGGTACGCAATTTTATATTCTGAACAGTGAGATTTGCACTATTGATTATCTTTGAGAGATATACTGACTTGATCGTCGGAGTGCCCCCGGATGGACGAACCACCGCTGGAATCTTCTCTTTCTGTTGCTGGTTAGCCAGGTGTTATCTATTCTGCCAGTGTTCTCCAGCTGAATACTGAATTGGGCAGTGTGATCGGAAATCACTCGCACATTTCCGAATGTCAGGATGGTAAACCGCACCCGGCCCAAACACAGAGGGTAAAGTGAAGTTTGCCCTATATAAATTTTCAGTAATGATTCAGATCCCTACAAAATATCACCCCTACAATCTCCACTCACTTGTGGTTGGTCAAAGTATGAAAGAGAAAAAAAATAATACAAACACATCATTGGTCCACATCACTGTGGAGGTGGTGTGGGTCTCCCCAAAAGGGGTCCCATACATTTTCCATAAATTTTAGGTATAAGAGCTCTTAACAACCTTAATTAACACCTAAGTTAATGTGGTTTATAGAGGTTTGCTTTGAGAAATGGGTTGCCTTTTTCACTTTTTGACTATTTTAGGTTGAGCTATAAAGCCTGATTTGGGAAGGACTTTTGATTTTTTTAACTTTTTTATGAGAGAAAAAATGTAATGGTTATGAGTTGAATGTGATATTTTATCTTATTAAGACTAAAAAGCCTATTTTATTTTTTTTAGTTATTTTAACCCCAAACCTATCCAAATCCACTTTCTAAACAATGGCAGAGTTGTGGATGACACTTCCTTATTTAGGTGGCACCTAAAGTTCGAATTATGGTTAGTGGGTTATTTCTCTCATATTTTTTAAAATATTTTTTTATGGAGTGATTTTTTTATTGAAAATCACAACATAAAATGTATAAAATTTTGATCATGATATACAAACATAAGATGTATATAAAAAATTTAAACAAATAACGTGTTCAATTTTGAGTCTTCACTTCAAAATTAAAAATTAATTAAGAGGTGGCTTATATAACTCATTTTTCTAGCCCCTATTGTGTTGACAAATCAAAAAAAAATAAGAAAAAAAAAATCAAAATAAGTAAAAAAAAATATTTTTTTAAACTTATTTTTATCTTTTCTGAACTTTTTAATATTTTTTAAAAATATTTTTACTTGTCTCGTTTAGCTAAATTTTAAAAAAATAAAAAAAAATCACAAAAAATAAAAATAAGTTAAAAGAAAAAAACACCAAAATAAGTGAAATCCAAATCACCATTTAATACCATATATTACTCATAAAATAAGACAAACGTAAAAAAAACAAAATAGAAAATAAACAGGACCACCACATTATTGTCATTCGGGAAATGTCTTGGATCCTACCACCCCTTGATTTTTGATTGACTAAAAATTGTTTTTTGTTTTTTGTTTTTTATTTTTAATTTTTTTAATTTTGCGGTCACAGCCTCCCACGTGGAGGTGGGGGTGCTGGGTCACCTCCACTAGGGGTCCCCAACAATGCTCTTGTCATTCTCTAGCCCCACTCTCACTCTTATCGGAGAAGTTATTGATTGATTAGGAATAACATCACGTGCTGTTTTACATGTATATTGTGATTAATAACAAAAGTAAAGGCTCTGTTTGGCAAGTTGGTTTGTAGTTATTTTAGCCATAAAAGATAAAATAGGTTATTTTAACCACAACAAATAAAACATCACATCCAACCCATAATCATTATACTCTTCTCTCAAAAAAAAAGTCAAAAAAGTCAAAAAGTCAAAAAATCATTTCCAAACCAAACTTTTTAATTAGGGCTAAAATAACCAAAAAAATCAAAAAGTCAAAAAGTCAACCCACTTCCCAAATAAAGGCTTATAATTTTATGTTAAGCAACTAAAAAACATAAAGAAACATATTGATTTGTAATTTGCCAAGGATGTAATCACATCATACCGTAAATCAATCAATAATTTTTTCTCCTATTGACACTCCTACATGCATTCCCCCTCCAAAAAAAAAAAAAAATCGATAAATTATTAATAGATCCTACTTTTGAGACTTTTTATTCATTAAATTCTATTGATAAATTTATTAAATGATAAATTTATCAGTCTTTTATTTTTATAAATAAATTTATAGTGATAAATTTATTAGTCTTTTATTTTTATAGTGATAAATTTATCAATTAAGACGTATAGGTAAATAAGTCTAGTTAATGGAACTAATTGGTAAGTGTCCAAAAAAAAAAAGTGATTTCAAAACTCACGGGTTAACTTTCTATTTTTAACCAATCAAATTATTTTTCATAATATTTTTTACAATAATTATGATGTAAAATCTAAAAATTTAATTTATTTAATGTATTTTATAATTTTAAATTTGTTTTTACATCTATAATCGTGTTAAAAAATTACATCAAAATTATGACATAGGATCCACATTTCCCTTTCATTAACGTACATTAATTATAATTATTATGCACTCTCTCCCTCTCTCTCTCTCTCTCTCTCATGGCATGTAATCTAATCCAATGTCCTTTCTCTTCTCTCTTCTTCTTATCCTCCACTGGTACTGGTGTGATTGATCGCTTGGTCTACTTTCATCCTCAACCAAAAAGCACGCAAAGCAAAAGTATTCCTGCTCACTAATTTCATATAAAACCCAGAAAAAAAAGAAGAAAACTGTCGAGAATTAAGCATATACAGAGAAGAAGAAGAAGAAGCTCGATCGACACAGTCTCGTTGTTTTGTTTCTCTCTAAATTCATGCGAAACTGAAAAAAAAGACTCTGAGATGAAGCATATAGAGAGAGAGATTAGTGTTGTGGAGTAGATTGGTTTTTCTGAGATAGCGCGTTTCAATGTCTGGCCATGGGGAAGGCACGACGTTGGAGTACACTCCCACTTTCGTTGTCGCTGGCGTCTGCACCGTCATCGTCGGCATTTCTCTCGCCGTCGAACGCCTCATTCACTACACCGGAAAGGCAATCTCTCTCTCTCTCTCTCTCTCTCTCTCTGTTTTTACTCTGTTTTTCAATTTTGAAAGCTTCTCTTTCTGTGCAGTATCTGAAGAAAAAGGACCTGAAGTCTCTCTACGAAGCTTTACAGAAAGTAAAAGAAGGTATGAATTCTTGGTTCAATTTCATACTAATTAATTTTTAAAAATCTGAGTACAATAATACATTTGATTTTGTGTATTCAATGAATGTGTGGGTGCAGAGTTGATGCTGCTAGGGTTCATTTCACTGCTTCTGACTGTACTTCAAAGTAGTATTACCAAGATATGTGTGAAGGAGGGCTTGACCCATCACTTCCTTCCTTGTAAATTAGTCTCCGAAGGAGGAGAGTCTTCTTCTAATTCAACTGGAGCAACTTCCCATTATCAACGTTTGCTAGCTGAAGCAACTTCAGGGACTGGTTACTGTGCCGGAAAGGTCATCACATCACATTAACACCCTCCCTCTCCTGAATTTTACATTTATTGCATTTTTTAAAAAAAACTTTATCTATCTATGTTTATTATTTATTTATGGTCCTAATCAGAAGTTTATAAGGTTTGTTGGGTCCTTCCACAAAGATGTGAGATTGAGTTAGGGGAGGTGGCATCTGTTGATCTTGAGAATCATGAGAATCCTATTTAGCTGTCATTTTGTTCTCCTGCTAACAACCACCTTACACCCTTAATTCAATCTAATTTGGATCTCAGTCTTTATATTAATTATATAACTGTTTTGATTTGGATTGTGTTAAAACATGCTTATGGGTTATAATATGTACGATTAATTTGGTAATTTGGTTCCATGATAAGTTCATATTCTAATTGTTCACTGTATTTTTTATTTTTTTTGATCGGCGAAAGTTAGTAGTTAGTTGTTAGATTAGCACCTTATTATCTTTAATTTGTTGCGCATAAACGTCGATCCACATTGATAAGTCCAATTCTTGAAGGTTTTTGAATCTTGTTTTGTTGTCTTCCCGCAGAAGATGGTCCCATTGTTGTCTGTTGAAGCATTGCATCATCTACATGTCTTTATCTTCGTGCTAGGCTTTGTCCATGTGACATGTACTGTTCTCACTGTTGTAATTGGAACGGCAAAGGTGAGTACGATATTTGTTTCTAATTTTCTCCAAGCTAAATTTTGCAACTAGTTATTGTTGATACTTATTAAATGTATTATTGTGCTGTGCGTTATTATTTTTTTGTTTGTCATGGCATAGATACGTCAATGGAAACATTGGGAAGATTCAATTGCAAAAGTTAATTATGATACGGGACAAGGTGAGGGTTATCGCTCATTAAAACTTGACATAATTTGCTGTTTCCTTGACCATTTTTATTAAGTAGAGAACCACATGCTAGTCATGTATGCATTTTCATGATAAATGTTTATCACTTTAGGAGTATATCAAGAAAAATTGTTCAACACTGATCATATTTCAACTTAAAAAGGCCTTTAATTCAAGTACATGAGGTGGAAATGCATAATGTGTACATTTAAGGTCTAGGTGTACAGAATGATAGTTAAGACTTCTGCAGCTATGTTGTTGCTGCTGCTGTTATTAATATTATGAAAAAACTATGTGAAAGGAAGAAGAAAGTAAGAGTGAAGTGACCTGTTATTTTTTCATAAGATCGTAAAGATAACTAATTGTTTTGAGCTGATTTGCTTTGATTCTGTGTCCTGTGTAAAACAATTTTTTATCTTGTGCATAATACTTCTAATCTAAGTACATTATTCTGCAGTTCTGAAACCAAAGCTCACTGATGTCCATCAACATGCCTTCATCAAGGGCCGGTTTCTGGGTTTTGGTAAAAATTCTGCTATTTTGGGCTGGTTGGTAAGTTCCTACCTTCACTCTCTTTTTCGGTAAACAAGTCTTTTTATGGTAGACTGTGACGGCCATTTTGCAGAAAATAATATTATGTTTGATATGCCTGCATACCTTGGTCCTATGATGCACTCATTTTTCTCCTAATATATTGCTTTAGCCTGTACTGTTTTTCTTTTCTTTTTTTAAATTTTTTCCTTCATGGTGAGATTCAACATACTGGTGTAACATCATAAGTAAGTTGAGGCTTGGATTCCATGCATAGGCGATTTGTATTATTATTTTTCTAAAGGCAATAATAGTTTACACCAACTTGTAACCCTTCTCCAAAAATATTCACCTATTTTCCTTTAACCTTGATGAAGGTGGAAGTTAGGTCTTTAAAACAAACTATCAACATAATTTACGTGGTATTTGATACCTTCGCAGACCACCAGATTCTTTTTCCCCAGTCCTTGTTCTGAGGCCTGTGGAGGCTAAATTTGTGTGCTCGAATTCTAAGTTTATCATAGTTTCATATATGTAGGTACAACTGAATAGAAACCAGCATTGTCGAGATAAAGGGTCCACAAATGGCAACCAACATATACAATTTAATAACTGTAGCATATATTTATTGCTAATGTGTATGATCTGTCAATTGTATTACGATGTCATACCATATATTCCTATATGGTACATATGAAACATGTAAAACACAAGCAATAGGCACATCATGCAAATTTTCAATTATTTTTGCTTTATTTAATAAAAATTAAATTCTAACTCAGCCTTCCCCTCACCAAGAAAAATAAGATTCTAACATGTTAAAGGTTAAAGTACTAAAAGGTTGTTTCTTTCATTCACAAAAAGACCAACCCTTTTCTTTGCGGTGCTCATATAATGCACCGTACAATTTTTCTGCCTTCATTATCTTTAACATAATAGTGTATTTAAAGGTGTTATAGAGGCTTATAATTAAACGTAGATTTCACAGACTTGGAATTTTAAAGCTATTTAAAAGTTTCAGTTCAAGATGAAGCTATTAGAAGTTTGAACCAAAAAGACATTGAAATATCTTAAATGTGTTCTATAACTAAAACATACTTGCATCGCATATGGTTTTTCAAACAATATTATTCATTTTATTATTTTTTCATTGGAGCAGTGAAAGGGTTCATAGATTTAGGAGACTACAGAGTTTTTAATTATTTACTCCCCATTTTTCCCCCAACATTTATAAATTTTTATTTCAAGACACAATATAAAAATGCTAAATGCCAGTGGAAATATCAAAACTATTATTTTTGGTGATAATGTGATACACAATCTAAGTATCTAACTGCTATGTCTACTTTTGATGGAGGACAAAATAGAGTTTTTAATTATTTACTCCCCATTTTTCCCCCAACATTTATAAATTTTTATTTCAAGACACAATATAAAAATGCTAAATGCCAGTGGAAATATCAAAACTATTATTTTTGGTGATAATGTGATACACAATCTAAGTATCTAAACTGCTATGTCTACTTTGATGGAGGACAAAATGGAATGAGTAACACATTAAGGAAAAATAAGTTGCCTTGGCAATAAAGATAAGGGAGAAAAGAGAGATGGTGGAGGTTTCATGCTTTTTTGCTTTTTGAGAAGGTTTCATTGATAGTAATTTCAATAAAGGGTGGAGGAGATTGATTTCCTTTTAGCAGATAAACAAGCTGTGTCCTTTCATGTGCAGAATTCCTTTATTCTTATGCACGCATATAGACAAACACAGACATATGTATGCTAACTTACAATAGGCTCATACATTTTTTTATGTTTTGCCTTTTGTTTTCAACAAAGTAACATGGTGGAGAATGATGGGGAATTCAAGTTTTGAATGACCTGAACAGTGGGTTGCTCAAGCTCTGTTTGAAAGATTAACAAACTCGAAATGAAGATTGGACTTGGCTCAATTATATCAGGAATGATAGAACAAGCTATATAATCTGAAACCACTAGTGGCTATTATTTTGACTAAATGTGCAAGCCATTCCTGTAACACAATTTTTATTGAACTTTTCAGCATTCCTTTTTAAAGCAATTTTATGGGTCTGTCACCAAATCAGACTATATTGTACTGAGACTTGGTTTTGTCATGGTAAGTATCCAATTTCCTGTTAGTATCTGACTTTAAATTTCCTGATTTTTTTTATTGTTACTTCACAGGCATTTGTGTTAATGTTGAATTTATTCCATGTGTAGACACATTGCAGGGGAAATCCAAAGTTCAATTTTCACAAGTACATGATCCGTGCTTTGGAAGATGATTTTAAGAAAGTCGTTGGTATAAGGCAAGTTATAGCTGGGATTACCTGTGCAAATTGTACAGCTTCTTATTTATTCTTCTGTGTTCGCTGGGTGTATTGCCAAAAATAAAATTCGAAAAGAGAGAGGATGACATTTGCAGCTGCTGGTTTGTCACTACCCAGTGCTGGGAGGGGTAATCTAGGGATATTGTCTCAAAAACAAAAAACAAAAAATCTTTTTATTTTTAATCTGCATCTTGTTTAATATCTAATTTGGCTTGTTGCAGTTGGTATTTATGGATATTCGTGGTCGTCTTCTTGTTGCTGAATGTTAATGGTATGTTACTATATAAAGTTACTATGAGTCATTTTAAATTACGTTGCCGAATGTTGTCAAGTGATTTAATTATTTTCTTTTTTGCTTTGACATTAGTTTCTTTTTTTCTTTGTTTTGGGTTTAACAAGAGGTTATTGTGATCCACTCAATGCTTAGGTTCTTTACTTGAAAGGAAGTAGAGTTTTTTTATTCTGTTTTATTGGCAACTCAACTCAAATCAATAAAGCATTTTTCCAACTTTTCTCTCTTTTTTTTTTCTTCTTTTTTTTCTTTTTTCATGTTGAGTTTATGAATAATGATAAAGTTACCCCTCTCTAATAGCTTAAGTTTTTAGATGAATTGGTGGTAAAAAATTTATCATGGTTTCAGAGCAAAAAATAGATCTTGTGTTTGAACCTCATGGTCTAACCGACAATTCTAATACTTGCGTGTGTTTGACTCACTTTTAGAGGAGTGACCACACGTGCAAGGGCATGTTAAGTATATAAATAATAATAAAGTTACTCCTCTCTCTAACAACTTAAGTTTTTTGATGAGCTTGTGGTCAATAATTTAACAATTATTTATGCATGAGTGTAATGTCAAATTAGAGGGAAGAATTTTAACTTTACACGTACCTACAAGTTTTTAAACACAAAAGTTTGTCTTCTTCCAATTGTTTGGATTCTACTGCCAAGTTTTTATGATATTCATCGTCCTCTCTTGTAATCGTGTCGCTGTATTATTGTTTCTGGTTTTGGCAAATATATGTGTGGATCATTAGATAAAAATTGATGCATTATTGGTTTGTTTTGCAGGATGGCATACATATTTTTGGATAGCTTTTGTTCCTTTGATTGTGAGTTGTCCTAAATATAATCGCTGCACTTATGCATTTTTTCCTATCATACTTACCTGCTCATTGTTTGGTTTCACCTTTTGAAAAATATATATTAATTGGAGACATGCATGTTGTTAATCTTATGGCCATTTGCTGTTTTATATGACTTTATAAAACCCATCTAGTTTTCAAGTTTGTCACCTTAAGTTGTGTTGAAATTTGTAAATAGTACACGCTTTTTCCAAATAACATGTTTATTGTGCTTGTAACACTTTGTAGAAAGTATTTATCCTACATGTTTTCTTCTGCCGTAGCCGGTGGGTTTCACATAGAATACACTGTAGTGGCTAATGGGTACTCCATTGAAAGCGTTCCGCTTAAATACAAGTCAATTCTAATTGTTTGCTACTGAATGGGTTTTGTAAATCTCGTTCCAAGATCGATCCTTGTGCAAAATTTGTCTTTTCCTCTCATTGCAATTTCATTTGAGATGCACACAGATGAATGAACATAATATGAAACTTAATATTACATTTATCTGAGTTATTATTACATCGCTTCCATTCATTAATTTTATTTTTTTTAAATTTACTTTTCAGCTTCTACTTGCTGTGGGAACTAAGCTGGAGCATGTAATCACCCAGTTAGCTCACGAGGTTGCAGAGAAACACATTGCAATTGAAGGGGAATTAGTAGTGCAACCTTCAGATAATCATTTTTGGTTCCATCGGCCCCCCATTGTGCTCTTCTTGATACATTTCATACTGTTCCAAAATGCTTTTGAGATAGCATTTTTCTTCTGGATATGGGTAAGATGATATATGCTATCGCTGCTTGTCATCTTTTGGTAAACTAGTAATAATTTCTGTGTGGATATTAATCGCATATGCTTTTATTGCCTGTAGTTGCAATATGGCTTTGACTCCTGCATAATGGGACATGTCCGTTTTATTATCCCCAGGCTCATTATAGGGTGAGAACCATTGCCCCATTTTCACTTTGATATTCTTTCTTATTACAGATATTTTGATGTGCAATTATTGTGATGCTATGGGATTTGTATTTATTCTGTTTATTTACTGTTAAAATTCCAAATAACATTATCATTTCGACTTTTTAGGGTATTTGTTCAAGTACTGTGCAGTTATAGCACCCTACCACTCTATGCCATTGTGACGCAGGTAATGTTCAGTTGCAACTTATCATCGGAGTTACAGTTTAAATTGGCAAAACTGACCATGATTTCCCCCTTTTTTCCCTTTTTCTTTTGTGGTAATGAAATGAAGATGGGAAGTTCATTCAAAAAGGCAATATTTGATGATCATGTGCAAAAGGGTCTTGTGGGTTGGGCTGAGAAAGCAAAGATGAAGAAGCACTTGAAGACAGCAACTAATGGTTCGGGCCAAGGCAGCTCAACTGCTGCTTCTATAATGGGAGTTCAGATGGGAAGAGTTGCTGGCAAGGGATCTGCACCAGAGGAGATTCAGCCCACAGCTGGTTCTTAAGTACATTGAAATGAGCTACTGATATACTGGAATATATTTGTAGGCACAGGCTTGTCTCTTATGTATAAATCTGGTTGATTTTGTAGAACAATCGCAGTTGCGATGTAGGAATGTTTTATATTGGAGTTAATTGTATGTCACCATGTGTGTATTTTGTGGGCTTAACGGAGAATTATATTGTGCGAATTCAAATTATGATTTTTTGTTTTTAGTTTTTTTGCTCTTGGACTGCTGCTGAAGACACAAGTTTTAAATTATTTTCAAACTTGACTTGTTTATTTTTTAAGATCCAAATTCAAGTAGTTTAGGCTTCGTTAGGGGAGTCTAACTTAGGGTTTTTTTTTGACTATTTTAGTCACAAAAAATAAAATATGTTTTTTAACCTAATAAGACAAAATATCACATCCAATTTATAATCATTATATTCTTCATTTCACAAAAAAAATTAAAAAGTCAAAAGTTCTTTTCAAATCAAGTTTTTTAGCTCTTGGTTAAAATAGCTAAAAAAATTAAGAAGCCAATACACTTTCTAAACGAACCCTTAATTTTTGTTTTTTAGTGCTTAAAATTCTTATAGAGCTAAGTAATAAAAAATTTAAAAAATTAAAATATGAACTTTAAACTTATTTATGTAACAAATTTATTTTTGATTCAAATAACAAATAAACTTTACAATTTTGATATTTTTATGCTGAACTCCCATTTATTTAAAAGTAAAAGAAATACAAGTAAATATTATTTTTTTTCATAACTAATGAATTATTGATAAAAATAGAGTCAAGTGCTACGTGAATTGTTCAAAAATTTAATGTAATTATATTATACTTGTAAAATTTATTAATTTTTTTTGAAATAGGATCAGTGCGATTTAGGGGTTGTTTGGGATGACCTAAATAAGTGTACTTTTTGTCTTTTTACGAAAAAATGTACAGAAAAATAGAGAGATGATGTGATGAAAAAAAGATAAAAAAATAAAAAATGTGTACTTATTTAGTATAGTCAAACTTGACCTTAATATAATTATGCATTTGCCAATGTCTGTTTGCCAATAAAAAAATCAAAAGAAAATACGCCACTGATGGCCAACTCATATTTTCAAACAAATCACTTGGTGGGAAAAACTCGGCAACCTTTTCCAACAAAGCTCATATCCATGGACGACAATGTCGTCGCCGCCAAAAAGAAGAAGGCTGCGCCGCCCATCACGACCACCACCACCACCAACAAGAGACCACGACGGGTCACGCGTACAAAACCTAAATGCAAAGAAGAAGAAGAAGTAGAAGAAGAAGCAACAACAGGGGTGGACATTGAAGATTTGGGTTTTTGCAGAAACGAAACCCTAGAAATTAGGGCTTCTCTCCTAGAATGGTACGACCTCAACCAGAGAGACCTCCCTTGGCGAAGAATCAGCAGCAGTGATGAAGACCATGACAAAGACGCAAGTGAGACAAGGGCTTATGCTGTATGGGTTTCTGAAATTATGCTTCAGCAGACTAGGGTTCAAACTGTAGTCGACTATTTCAACCGTTGGATGCTGAAGTGGCCTACTCTTGCTCATCTCGCTCGCGCTTCTCTTGAGGTTTTTGTCTATCTCCCTCTGTTTATGTGGTTGATTGATTAAATCTGCGTCAATAATGTTGAGATATTGGGGATTAAATGTTGGCTTAATGTGTGCAGGAGGTAAATGATATGTGGGCAGGTTTGGGATATTACAGACGGGCACGGTATCTACTAGAGGTGAGCTCTTCCTTTGACTCTTGTGCAAGACTATTTGATATGAATCTATTTCTTGTTGGGTTTCATTTGGTATTTAATAATGGCATTTCTAATGGATATGATGATTCAACACAATCTGGGGGCTTTTTTTTTTTAATAACAATGTAATGAGATGATTGAGAAGGATGATCTGCTCTTCTCCACTCATTGTTTCAGTGCCAAATCTGCCAATAAATAATCATCATTGTTTAGTTGATTGATAACTATATTTTTATTTTGTCGACCTTCCAAAAGGGTAATTCAGATTTAGCGTTCAGTTCATGGAGATCGCTCCTGTATTTGCACTCAAATGAGGATGCTCGGTCCAACTTACCAATGTCGGTGAAATTGTCTTGCCAATTACAAGTGATCTTGCTCCTCATCTGAGAAATTATTTGCAGCCTCCCCATGCAACATTGCCACCTGCAACAATGATTTATAGATTTTGTAGGCAGCCTTTCCATCCAAAACTGACACTTGTAGTACTTATCAAATTACCATTTTGGTGTTAGAACAAATTGGCTGCTCACGTTGTAGATTTCTTAGGAGCTTCATGTACAGCTGAGGGCTTAGAGTTCTTCTTCCAAGACTCAGTACTTCCATGTAAAGAACCCATAAAACTTGTTTGGTCAAATGCATGAAAGCTGAACCATGAGAGAGGGTTGGTTCAATCTTTTTCGAAAACACAAAATAAAGAAGTCTTATTTTCTATATTTAAAAGATCGAGGAGTTCAGATATGAAATAATTTTCTTTTCACTGCAGCATAGCATGCCATATTCTGTAACTTCTTTTTGTCTCTCTTTAACCTGTTAGGGAGCAAAAATGATTGTTGAAGAAGGAGGTGTGTTCCCTAAAACAGTTTCAGCTCTTCGGAAGGTCCCCGGGATAGGAGATTACACAGCGGGTGCAATTGCCTCCATAGCATTCAAGGAGGTGGGTACTTGTGTTAATTTTTATGTTAGTCATGCAAGGAGCATCTTCTTTTATTCCATAATCTAAAATACTTAATATTTCAGGTGGTGCCTGTGGTTGATGGAAATGTAGTTAGGGTGGTTGCTAGATTAAAGGCTATTTCTGCAAATCCCAAAGAGTCGGTGACAATCAAGAACTTTTGGTGAGTTCCCAAACATGGTTGCACATACTAATCTCTTTGTCTCCATATATAGGTTACCATCAAATAAACACTATTCTTGACACACACACACACACACACACACACAAAAAAAAAAAATAATAATGTTTTTCAAGTTTTTTCTTTTCTCACTATGCTTTATATTTTTCTGGACCAGGAAACTGGCAGGGCAATTAGTTGATCCTTCTAGGTCTGGAGATTTCAACCAGGCCCTAATGGAACTTGGTGCAACAGTATGCACTCCCTTGAACCCTAGCTGCTCTGTTTGTCCTGTCTCTGCCCACTGTCGTGCACTATCTCGTTCCAAACAACATACATTAGCACTAGTTACAGATTATCCAATAAGGGTTGTAAAGTCCAAACAAAGACATGATTTTACTGCCGTTAGTGTTGTGGAGATATTGGAAAGCCAAGATATGATAGAGGAACTTCAATCTGATGGTAGATTTCTTCTTGTGAAGAGGCCAGATGAAGGTTTACTTGCTGGCCTCTGGGAGTTTCCATCTGTCCTGTTGGGGGTAGAGACTGACTTGGCCACAAGGAGAAATGCTATTGATAAGTTTTTGAAGAAGTTTTTCAATCTAGACCTTAAGAAGTCTTGTACTATCGTTTTGAGGGAAGATATTGGAGAATATGTCCATATTTTCAGTCATATTCGTCTGAAGATGTATGTGGAGTTATTGGTTTTATGTCTAAAAGGTTTGTTCTCCTTATTGACACGCACACACCCACACAGCACACAGAGACACACATGTGGGACGTGTGTGTGCATGCCCACACACGTGCACATTTTGGTGCACACGCTCACACAGATAGTAATGAGTAAGCTCTCTGTGTTATATTTAGACTTTTCTTTGCTTGTGATGACATGAAGGTGGGACACATGTTTTGCATGAAAAACCAGACAGCAAAACTATGGCTTGGAAATCTGTCAATAGCGAGGCCCTTTCAAGCATGGGATTAACATCTGGAGTACGAAAGGTAACATTAACATGGAAAATGCTAGTGGGTGCCGGTTATTGGTTCCCACGTTTGTTTGATTTGGATCATGTACATGACTGGTCTATGTTGCTGACATTTGATATTTTATGTGATTGATGGTCTGTTCCTTTTGCCTATTGATTTTCAGCCTTTCCTTTTCTTCTTGTGTCATCAAATTATTTACTAACTTTTAATGGAGGAAACATTTATATTAGCTGTTTTGTTTTTGGATAATGTAAGGTGTGGTACTATCATTGTCTTTCACATAATAGCCCTATTAATGTATTCGAGCTGTAATTGCCTTAACTATCTGTATTTACATTGTCAATCATTTGTTGCACAAATATCTTTCTGATGCAGGTTTACTCTATGATTGAGAAGTTCAAGCAAAACAAATCTAAAACCATCCCAGGAAAAGCAAGAGAGAAAAAGAAATCATGAAACTAAAGGGTGCGTGACGTAGTCAATCAAGATGCTAATTGTGTAGATTGCTTCAAGGTTTTCTCTTCCAGAAGGCTGCACCATTTGGTTGGTAAGCAAACATCTGCGTGTAAGAGTTCACAATTCACCTTAAGATGGTTTTTATTTGCTGCATGTGTTTTCATAAACAAATGAGTATTTATGCACATCATTAAAATTTATGTTTAATGACCATTTTGCTATGCTTCTGTATTCCTCACCAAATATGGCATAATTTCCCCAATTTCTATGCAAATGAAGGAATGTGCCTTCAAATCCCATTTGAGGTTTTTTAATTTTTATTTTTATTTTGTGCTACAGGGCAATTTTCATTGGTCAAATTTTGGATAAGCTATTGACGATATCTCAAGACACGAGTCATCTTTGCATTTACTATGTGCTGCAAGGTTGTTTTTCATCATATGAGATGATCCAATACCGTGATGTAATTTATTTGCAGTTGTAAACTAACTCACTCTGCTTTTAACATTATTGCTAATACTATTGTTGTTGATGTTGTTATTACTACCAATAATAATGATGTTGAAGGAGAGGTGGCTGTAGTGTAGCCCAATTTGCTTGAAGAGTTACTTTTGTTTTAATGCAGTCAATTTATTTATTTATTTTTTATTTTTTTGGGGGGCATCGCCACAGTGGCATCACTCTCAACGCTTTATTCTAATAGCAAGGGCATTGGTTATTCGAAGAGAGGATATAACTTCAGTGCAGAGAGTATGAATTCCCACCAGTTGGTCATCGGAGTTTGGAGCAACAACCCCTAACTCCTGCTGCATTGGTGATAATCAAACTAAACCTAACTTAATTTGTTTTTGCATGTTTGGTAGTGGGCCATGTAACTTGAGACTTTTCAAAGGCAGTAACAAAAACTTCAAACTAAATTGAGCCAGCCTTTTTAAATTAAAAACATTTCAAAAAAGCCTGCCTTTCAAAACTTCAATTCTTTTAAATCGATGCTTTTTGGGTGTTTGCTTGACAACTTTCAAGCTGTTTTAACCTTCTTAAGCGATTCTCTTTTCTTTTTTTTTTGTCCTAAATATTTCTTGTTTGCATTTTTATAAGAAGTTAGAGAAAAAAAAAAAATGAAGTTATTTAAAAAATGTTGTGAATACAATTTTTGTTTATTTATTTATTGCCATATGATGCTTGTGAGATCAACGATATTGAAGAGGACTTTTAATTTCTGAAGTTATTTTTGACCAATATGCTTGTGAAGTTATTTAAAAAATGTTGTGAATACAATTGCGAGCATGTCAGCAAGGATCAATCAGTCTTTACAGAAATTTAATTTCCAACTAATTATTAGACGATTGTGTTTTAGTTCTTTCAGCCTCAATGAAGAGGACTTTTACTGGTGGCTTGATTTAGGAAAATTAAGCAAAATATCAATCAAATAAAGAACAACTGAAGCATTTCATTAGAATGAAAAACTTACAATGATTCAAACTCAGTCTCGTAGAGGTTTATAGCGACAATCTACTTGAAACTACTCCTATGAATGAAGTGCAATGCAGAATTTAAAGTACTGGACCGTAAAGAACAGGAATGTAAAGAACAGGAAATGTAAAACTAAGTAAAGTAGAATAAGACTAGTTTTTTGGATCTGAGTCTGGGGGCTTTTTCTGGGGCCTTCTCTGCTATTTATACTGCTCAAGGATGACCATCGAACTGTATTTCCAACCGTCGAACTGCTCCTCCATGATCGCTGATCATGTTGCCTCAAGATTAGCTCCATTACGCCATCACTTGCAGTTAGGCTTCCCTCCTAAATTTGAATTTAAATGTGAGTAACCGTTGATGCCACATCACCTTGTATCTCTTTGTTGATCCACTGCTACTCAGATCTCGTAACAACCAATATTAACTGCCACGTGTACGATCAAGATCGAAGATTTGAATAGTCTTCCTGTACTACCCCTACTTTGCCACGCGTCGAATTGTAACTGGCTTGTACAAAATATGTAGCCAACATTACCCCCCGCACTAATACATCCAATACTTGGTGATATTAGTGGATCAAGGTCTTTTTCCCACGTCTTAGAACGTGCATGGGTTTTGCATTCTCCCAGAAATGCAACTGTCATTCATCATCTGCATTAAACTCTCCTTCAATCTTTTGAATAACCCCACTACCTTAGTATTCGAACAGACTGATACATTTTTTATGGCCGAATCAATTTTTCCCTCCATTGATCGAGCACACGAAGAGTCATATGATGATGTTGTTCTTCCTCGAAAGAACCTCCATGCATTAATTAGCCACCTTTACCCACCTTTCTATATTCAGGTCATGGATGCCTTTGCAAATTATCAACCCTTGGACTTCGAACATATTGCCCTTAATCTTTCGATTCAGAAACTCACAAATATGGACATGGGAAGTTCTTCTTCTGACTCACCCTTGGACTACGAACAAACTGCTCTCAATCCTTTGATTCAGAAAGTTGCAAATATGGACATGGGAAGTTCTTCTTCACAACCCTCTGTATGGGACAAGGCTGCGACTTCTTCCTCTTCTGGGGCTTCTGACTAGACAAGTTGGTCAAAACCTGAGGCCTGTGATTTGAGGGAACGAATCAACCATCATTTTGTCGAATTTACTGACCCTTTAGAGTTCCCCTCTTATGCGCGAAGCTCGGTGGTCTATCCTTACGTGCCCATTGACCATCGACGCAGTTTGAAGGAGAATCTACTTGTGGCATGGTATATATCCTCTATACCTACAAAGATAGTGCACGCCGCTCGACGCCTAGAAGAGGCACAAGGGTACAATCCATCATTCTTAGCCCAAAAGGCGAAGATTTGTTCTTCTGACTGGCTCGATTATATTAATGCCCTTGTTCCTTCTGCCCTTGTTCTATCTTCTGAAATAGAAGCATCCACACCTTCCCCTCTGCCAAATCCTTACTGGACAGAGAGATTGAGGCTTGCCCTCTCCGCAGATAAGATCTTTCCACATTACAAGCCTCTACATTCCCCTACTCCAACTGAGCGGAAGCAAGCTCAACTTCTTCTCGCGGCTTTCTCTCACTTGTCCTTTAATGTTCTTGAGGACGAAGTCCCTCTCAATAACCTTCGATGGGATTGTGATATTCTGACCCGGGGTCATATCCTCAATCCCCTCGCCCAAACAGAGCTTCACATGTTTTTGGACCAATTTCCATTGCTTCTCTACTGGCATCGGACCTCTATGGCCACCACACAATCTTTAGATCAACTTTCATCCCTTCGAGTTCATGCCCAGTACGAAGCAGAGAACTTCATTGAAGAATTCGATGATTTCAAGAATAAAGATTCTGCGCACTGGGATGACTTAGAGATAGACGAATTGGAACAAGGATTGAGAAAAACAGCATTCGAAATAAAGGCTGAAGAGCTCTTTTACGAAGTAAGAGCACATCAACTCATGCAGCCAATGTTAGAAGAAATAGAGGATAGAATAAAGAAAGAACAAAAATTCATTGATCATTGTTGGACTAAATTTCATGATCTTGTTATTTATTCCATTCCCTATTTTTATGAGCTGGAGTTTGTACCCAAATAAGGCTATTCGATGTAATTGCTTTGGTTTTAATACCACTAAGACTTTTTCTTTGTTTGGTATGGTTTGATCTTATCTCCATTTGTCTTTAAAAGCAAATTCAGAGCTTCGAACTGAACAAGCTGATCCTTCGAATTTGGACTCGATCGTTTTAAATGAAACACTAAAAGAACCAACAATGAACCTGTCCAATTTATAGAATATAGTTAACAATTTTTGTTGATTTTCATTTAAAATTGGTGCTTCAAATTTAACAATCTTACCCCTTAAAGCTTGTTTCGATCATAACCAACATATGGTCATGGTCAATATGATCAATCAGTTTTAAACTGACCATTTTTTCCTTAGAATAACAGTCCATACTTTCAAAAATATGAAAGCTCCTTTTTAGGGCTGCACTGTTTTAGTCTAGAAAGAGAACCTTTTTTAAATACAAACCAATTATTGGTTTTGATTTTTCGAATAGCAATTCCTACCCTTAAGGGATCTCAAGTCTTGCTTCGAAGGACATTACTTTCCTTGAGAAACCTAAAACAGGTCTTTAATTTCTTCGAAGTAAACTAATGCTTGAGCATTCTTTCATCCATAAGTATGAAATGTACTTCGAAGCTGGTTTTTTAGTTTCAAAGCCGTTTATTATTTGACTTTCGGCGCCAAAATTTGGTTTCAAAGCCAAATAATATATTTCAAAGCTGGCTTCGACATCTGGGATGTGTTTTTCCCTCCAAAAGTATCAATATTGGAGAAAGCTCTTCGTGTTTGTATTTTTAGTACTTAACGAATTACGCGACATATTGTAGACGTCCCCGAACGTCCCGGGAGGGAAATCCCCCGTTTTGTTCGTTTTGGGCTCGCTACAGTTCGGACTCTCAAATTGTCACGGTTCTAAATCTGAACCAAAGAGTCCAAATCCGGCAAATCATTTTTGAAAACAGATTTTTTTGAAAGAAGTGCCAAACATGGACTGCTTTGCCAAATACAGAGTTGCCACCTAAATATTTTATTTTGGAAAATTTAAGAAACCCTAACTCGTTTCCTAAGGCCACGTGTCTGTCATCACCAAAGTTGCCCCGGCTCGGGAACTTGGATACGATTAGGGAAGGTTTCTTCGTGAGCACCCCCGCTCGCCCGATCAAAGATCAACCTCTACTAACCATGATATCGGGTTTTGAAAATATTATGCGTTCTTATTCCGGTTTTTAGCCTAGATTTACTATGTGATGCGCACAGCATACAAGTATAGACTGGATCGCCTGAATTGGAACAAAACATTGCATATCCGTTTGTTTGGAAATGTTTGAAGTTTGCTACTCGCAAGTAGGCTAAAATGCGGATTTCAATTAATTATCCCAATTCAAGTAATCCAACCTTCACCCACAGGCATTCAGGTAGTTTATCACATAAGCATATAGCCACATGGTAAGCATGCTGTCATGTTAACAATCACACTCATGTGAGATGTTAAAGCATAAATACTTACATCGTACTCCGCGCCAAAACAGAGAACTCGTTAGCAATCATGCATGATCCAAGTCCATGTTAGAATGGCTAATGCATCGCAGGCAAAATGCAACTAGAATAGGCTCGGCTAATCTATGGATGACATGTGAAATGCAATAGATAACACGTATTCAAGTTAGATTTGAAATACTATGCAGTTAGTACGATGCGCCGAGCCCGGTGTATGCAATACAGATGAATGAATGCACACATGCATAGCATAAGATATGCTAATTGAAATATGCCCTAAATCTAACCATTATAAGCGGTTAAATAAAAGAGAGAAAGAAATGGGATTGGAAGACATGCACACATACACCCACACTTATTACAATTGCGCCCTCACTCGGAGGGACCGAATAAATAATACAAGCCACCTAATTAACTAGCTAACAAGCTACTTAATTATTACAGAACCAAATTGAATAACTAGCTACAACTAATTATTACACAACTTAATTAATTAACAAATCAATTAACTAATTAATGAATGACAACAAGCAGGTAGGGAAAACACTTGGAGACTTAGAAATTCTATTCTAG